GTACTCCAGAGTGTTGTTTAGCATGGGGGTGAGTGGAAAATGAAGGCTAATCATGTCTTGGGTGTACTATTCCTTTAAGGTGCAAAAAGAAAGACAGAAACAAAAACGAATATACTGCATAAAAAGGGTGGGCGTCAGATAAAGCCCTGCTTCATTACCTGCATTGCACTGGATGCATAACTGCTTTAATTTGCGGGTCAGTTTTCAAAATAAAATTGCGATAAAATGTGTTGCTTTGTGGCTTGTTGCGACTAGTTTGGTGGCACATCTGTATTGATAGAGAGTTGAGTGCAAAGAGTCATTTTCAGCAACAGTAACTAAATGAGGCTGAGAAAATAAAACTTAATTTTCTGTCTGGGGTATTACTAGACAATTGCTCACAATAAGGCATGCGTGATGTGTGTGTACATTATTATTTACTAATAAATACCGAAACAAAAAGTTTTTTCAATCACAGTATCCAGACCAGAAATTTGCATCATGGCTATGCTTAAAGAGCAGGTGTTTACCTAAAACATGAGAGTAAAATAACAATTTTTTAAAATAACATATTGTCAGATATCTATGTGTATTTTTATTTGATCTATTACTGAGGTAATTTTTATTATGGGATGGTATTATGCTATGTGAAGGCGACATTAGAACATTTTGGCAGGTCTTGACTTTGACCTTCCCTTTCAAAACAAAATGCTTATTCACACAAAAGTTGGCCTCCCTGAGACACAATCACATCAAATATCTTTTTTGACAAAACTCTCCATAACATAGAACAAGAGCAAACAGAAAACAGCGTCCACATATTAGCAGGATTGTTTTGGTGAGAAACCAATCTAAGAGCTAACAACAAATAGTATATTTAAATATAGACCTTACGGTTATCAGACATGGGTATAATAAAAACTTACATTTGATAAACTGATGCTTAAAAAAATGATACTGTCATAGTTTCACCACAGCAGCAGATGTCCTTAAAGAGCAATGCATGAAGCATTGAGTACTGAACCTTCGGAGCAAAGCAAGAGGCTGGAATGTCTTGTGGCATCATTAACTTTATTTGGCCACAGTTAGAGGTAGTAGAAAAAAGATTTAATCAAAACTAAAACAAATTATCTTAAAACAACATTGGCTGGCGGGTGAAACAAAGTAATGACTGAAGCCATAAGCTGAGAATGGTGAGTTTTGAATAAAGAAGAACCGGTAGGGCATTAAAAAACCGGGTGCTTTCCTGCAGGAAAATACTTTTTGTGTTAAAAAATTCCTGCAATAACTGCATTGGTTTATCGGGTTACTTTGCCTTTTCACTCCAGCTCATCCGCATCAGGGACTTTTCTGTTCACCCGCACCAGGAATTTTGTCTCTGTGTTGTGCGTGTGTTGACTGATCTATTTATATCACCTATGTGTTTTTGAAGTCACATTTTTGCAGCTTCAGTCATTTCATTTTCCTTTTATGACAGTGTTGGGTTGTTTAAGGGGCTTAAAGCTATAATTATTTAAGGAACTGCAGATTTTTTTTTCTACCAGTAATATTATTAGAGTTGAAAAAGCATTATGTTCAATTACATTATTTGCAAAGTAGAAAAGAGATGCTCACCTTCTGTAATTTCTTCTTAGACTCAGTCTTACCCAGACATGTATCAGTGCATCAGCCTCGCAGGGAAACCTTGGTAGGGGTCTAGTTCATGAGCTGTGCTGAGCTTTTTACCGTTTTGAAAGCACAGGAGAATGGTGCATGACCGAACTTCAGCGGCTAAGTTATACATGCTTGGAGGCAGAGTGGAAAGGTCTTACAGTACAAGATCAGACAAAGTGGTCACAACGTGGTCAAAACATGTCTTGAGCAATGACAGTGCTTGTATCCCCAGTTTATATGTTTTCTGTAACTTTTGTCAAGTCTTATTTCTGGTAAGACAAAACAAGGTAAGTTCATTTATATATAGAAGTTTTCAGTAGCAAGAAAATCCTAAATTCTGTACATCAGGAAAAAACAGAACATCATAGTACCAGAGAAGAAATTGTAATATTTGAAGAGAAAACATATACATAAAAAAGATATTAAAATGAAAAATAAAAAACTAAAAGATTTAAAAAATGTAACTCGATTTGGAAAGCAATCTCTAGAATCATCCATGCTTACATAAATATTTTCCTTCAAAGATCAGAGAAAATGATTCAGCTCTTTGCAAAACTTAAAAAATATATCTATTTAATCCATTTTAAAGCTTGTGTAATCACAGTTTTATTATATATGAGTGTGTACAAAAACCCCCTATTTATGATTAAATATTTTGCAGACCAAGCTCCTATTAATGATGATGTCTAGCTCCATCCCTGGTGAAGACATGACTTAATCTCTTCTCCCTCATCAGCCCTATGATTGAACAATCTTCTGCCAAGTGCCCGTCTCCCCTATACATGCCTTATTAAAGTGAAAAATAAGCGGTAAAGAAGTATCTCAAGGTAAACAGATGTAATGAGTTAGGCAGGATGAGGGTGGGGCAGGGGAGAAACGAAAACAAACATTGCTTCAGCACAGAGACAATCAGGCCAGACAGGGGAAGTTCAGTCAACAAGCCAGAATATTAACAGGGATCACCTGCTTAATCTGCTTCCACAATAAAACTTCTTACAAACCTCCTTTATATCTCCTGCAGCCTCTTTCCATCTAAAATCACCCCTGGTTAAGCATTAGTGTGAATATTGTTGCTGGTCTCCCTTATTCCCATGAGAGTGCAATTTTCACAATGATCACCAGGGAGCGTTATCACAGATCTATCCTCCAAGCAGCTGTAAGACTTAATAACTATCACTGTTCCCAACAGCCTCAAGAGGTCGTTACATTCATGCTGATTTTGCACAGTTCCTGTCTTAGTCAGTTAAATAACATGCTGCTGTCATTTTTGCACACCTCTGGTGTTGCTGCTACTTTTCACAAATCCATTACTGTAAAAATGTCCACAGCTGTATACTGAGTATTTATTCTCCTGATGTACAGTATTTATACGGTAAAAACACTGTACAGTACAGTATTTGTTTATTTTTATTTTACTTTGTCACTTATTTTGTTATTTTTATACAGTTTTTTAAGGTCCAGGTTGTGTGACCACTTTTGCTATAATCTTTTGCTGCTGTAAGGCCACAATTTCCCCATTCAATTCAATTCAATTCAATTCAATTCAATTCAATTCAATTCAATTCTATTCTATTCTATTCTATTCACTTCACAGATTCTCTCGGACAGAGGGCTGTATTTCTAAACCTAAGTGTGAAAAGCCCTCCCGACAGGGCTTTTTTATTACATAGGCAACTGCTTAAGGTGGAAATTGCAGGGCGCAGGGAGATGTTGTATGGTTCAATGATAATTCTATTTTTATCTGTGATGGAAAATTCTTGGAATCTAGCAAAGAAAAAATGTTGCAAATACCATCCTAAACCTATATCTCAAACAAATGTTCTAATATTTTAAAGAGGTCCATAAACTTAATCTTGATTTTTATGCATGAGGCAAATCAACACTATTTTCCCCCCAAAATCTGCTGTGCCCCACTGCCGTCCCTCTTCCATTGCCTCTTGTAACCCTTGTTCTCTCGCAGTACCACCATTAAGACGCAAAAGCTGACAGGGTCGCAATGCTACAAAATAGAAGGGAGGATGAGAAGAAACATGAAAGGGCCATGGTAAAAATGTGAAGAATTTGTTTATAAAGGACTATTTTACAACATGTCATCT